CTTCTGGAGACCTGTTAGTCTAGAAATCTGTCCAGGTCTTGATAATCAGCCGGGCGGGCCCTGCGATCTGCAGTCTTATTATTTTTCCTCGTTGTATTCCGTAATGGAAAAGATAAACCTCTTTTTTTAATTAGAGCAGAGGCAAAGTAAAGCTTTCTTATCTCGTTATCTTTTCATTCTGGACAGAGAAACCTTACTCAGAAAGGTTACTTTTTCATTAAAGTCTCTTAAATGTTATTGCTTATAGTTTTTAATGACATCTGTCTTAACTGATACGGATTAATTTCTGTTTCTAATAAAATATATACTTTTAAGTCTTTAATCTGTATTAAAGGTGTCCTAAAATTAAAATCCACATTAACTTTGTTGTTCTTGAATATAGGCAGCATCGGGTGTCTAATGTACCTAAAAGTCTCGACCTACTTTCTTATGTAAATTAGTAAATGCTGTGATGACCACGGAGAAAATAACTGGTAGTGTCACAGGCATCGACACCCCCTCTTAAATGAGCGTGTCCCAATATATAAACATTGGTCATGGCAGTGCTAACTGCCTAATGGTAGCCTAAGCTATTGCTAACATTTTCCAAAGCTACTGATAAAGCTATCCAAGCAACTGCTAATGCTAATCAGAGCTACCTCTAACTCTTATCTTTGAATACTGCTAGCCAGTGGTGGAAAGATCACTAAAATTTCCTACTTAAGTACAAGTACCAATACTTTGATAGTTTTTTACTCAAGTACAAGTAAAAGTTCTTGTCTAAATTTTCACTCAAGTAAAAGTAAAAAGCATCGTAAACAAAATGTACTCAAAGTAAAAGTTACTTAGTTACATTTTTGTCAGCGTAAGGCTAGATCTAAGTAGTGCTAAATCACAACGCCAGTTCACAATTTGCTTGTGTGTGTGTGTGTGTGTGCACGCACACACACACACACTCAAACACACACAGTTTGATGGAGGGATTTCTATCCAATCAGTGAGAACAGGACGTGCACATTGATTGGACGAGGTTTTTCTAGGATTGTAGGTTTCAATTGTGATTAAAATTATTCTTTATTTTGAGAAAAAAGTAATTTTTTCAGATGCCATCAGCATGTGAGGTATCTCAATGTTTTGATGACAAAACTCTAACATGAGACTGTGTCCTAACCCGTCACATAACAAGCTAAATGCAAACATTTCAGATGGACCGTATGACAGCTGCTAACGTTGGCCCTGCCCTACTTTACCTCTACATTACAGTTCCTTTATCCATGTCCATCCTAGAGCTTCTCTCTGACCTTCATGCTAATTTAGAGCAGCTGATTTGTAAAGTAGCAGAGTTCATCCTTGGTAGTGGGTTCACTCACTCATTTAACCCTTCACCACTAGGGCTGCAACAAACGATTATTTGGATAATCGATTAATCGGATGGGGTCTCGACACGATTAATCGATTAATCGGATTACATGGGGAAATTTTTAAAAACTGCTAGGGAAACGTTATTTCTCTCCTTCCTTCACTTTATTTAACACAACATTATTAGAAAACACTTCAATAGCAGAAAAACAACATGTCATCACCTAAATTGTCTTATAAGGTGTATAGACAGAGACCCTAAGCTACATCTATCTGTGACCTAAAATGCTTGGTCCAAGTTAAACAGCTTAAGGGCAATTCTCATCTGTTTTGTTTGATCTCATCTGTTAACATTTATTTTAAATGTAATTAAACATAGGCTGTGAATTAATCAAAATTGATCACTATTTCCAAAACTGACTGAAAAAATACCAAATAAAACAAAAGTAAATGAATGCCATCCTCCTTGCGATGATGCCCTGGGCAACTGCCATAAAGTCACATCAAGAAATGCTGCTGATCATTCAAATGATCCCAAATAGACTCACATTAGGCCACATGAAAGCAACTGAACCCAAAAATATATTAACCAGTATATAACTGCACTCTCACACAACACGCCTGCAGCAACAGTTAGGACTCCTCCCTCCCTTTTAAAAGCGTTTTTGCTTCTGAGGACATTGTGGTTGTAAAACCACATGCTAGTAGTCTGGCCCCGGTGTGATCAACCAGTTTCTGCGGGAATGTGACGGCGGAACCAGGGCCAGATTAACACTTTGTTGTACCCTGGGCAACAATATTCAAGGGCTCCATCATCACGACCCAAGGATCACCATAATGTGGTCACATACAGAATATTTTACTGTGATATGCAGTAAATATACTCAATACTTGAATGCCTGACAACACGTAACCCGCCCAGAGTAACCTTTGACCCACCTCGTGTGGACTGACCAATGAGGAGAGGGTCTTAACTTGAGGCCCTCTCTTCATTGGTCAGTCTGCATGAGACTGACTCTCAACTGACATTCAGTCGTAGGCAGCGAAGCGTCTCTGTGCAGCGCAAAAGCCCGGGTGGACAGTTTGTTTAATGTAGGGTGACCATATTTCCATTTCCAAACAAGAGGACAGGGGATCTGTGCCTATGACGTCACACTATGGCAACGCCACACAAACCATGTTGGGACCCATTTTTTGTAAGAACTAAATTAATATCAGATTCTGCCAATTAAAGGGCTCTAAAACAATTCATATGTAAATATTTTGCATATTTAATGCAAAATCTAATTTTTCTGCTTTAGTGCTGCAACAAGGTTTTATTAATAATAAATTATTATACCTTTTGTTTTACTACAGCATCGGTAAGCTTCCTGTGCACAGATGATTAAGGATGCTTGTTTCAGCTGTGAGATTAGACGATAGGATCAATGAAAAAATAAGTTGTCACACACTCCATGGAAACTTTCAGAGAATCCACAAATAGTGGCTTTCAAATGGTTTTGTTACTTTTAGCAGGTTTAGAAAAGCAGCAGATGAGACAGCATGTCTGATAATTTAGTTTTTCATCTGATAATATTAGAACATGTCAGTAATGTCTGAGGGGCTTTTATAAACACCATATAACTAACACTACTGGTGAGGGCATGAATTACACAGAGGCTTCTGGGGAGCCCAGTTATTGGGGGGGGTGGGGGGGGGGTGGGGGGGCATTTTGCCTTGGCCCCCAAAATGTCTTGAAACGGCCCTGGGTGTGTGACTGAGTTTTGAAGGTGCTCTGAATTGTATCAGATGTATAAATATTACATGTGTATAACTTATTGTTTTTTACTGGTAAAAACGTGTCGTGGAGATAAATCTACCTACATTTGACTTTTCAACACTTTGTTTTGTTTTCTTGTTTTTATTTAACTATTTTCCTGTCCTGTCTGTCTCTCATCTTCCTGCATCTCCTCTTAATTCTCCAGAAAATCTGTTGCCTGGATTCTTACCTTTTCACCTCATCAGTTACTTTTGAGCAGATCAAAGGGATCTCCTGACCGAAAAGCGCAGAGCGCGTTTTCGATGCTGCGTGAGGTGACATCACCACAGCAGAGGTGATGAGCTCCACAGTAGCGAGCTTCAGGCACAAATAAGACAGAAAATAGAGAATATGTGCGGACATGAACGATCGTGTGCTAATTATAGTTTTTTGGTTGCGCCACTTTGAGAATGGACCGTGCGCTGGAAGCAGCTGCCTGGATCGCTGCGCGACAATGCGGAACCGGTTCGCCGCAGCGCAAGTCTGCCGGCTCTCCATCGCGCTGATCTGCCGGTACCGGCTCTCCCTCACGCTGATCTGCGGCTCTCCCTCGCGCTGATCTGCCGGCTCTCCCTCGCGCTGATCTGCCGGTACCGGCTCTCCCTCACGCTGATCTGCGGCTCTCCCTCGCGCTGATCTGCCGGCTCTCCCTCGCGCTGATCTGACTTGCTCTGGTCTGCGCGCAACGGCGGGCAGGAAGGGGGGGGGGGGGGGGGGGGGGGCGCTTTTGGAAGAGTTGTGCGACACAACGAATCGATGACGCAATTCGTTGCCAACGCTTTTAGTAATCGATTTTCATCGAATTTATCGATTCGTTGTTGCAGCCCTATTCACCACTGAAATCAGTTTGTTCATTCCAATCCTCCTAAATAATCCTCCAATCATCCAACTGGAATCCTTAAGGGTCTCGTAACGTCCATCCTCTCAGAACAGGCCTTGGGAGCCCAGGTGTTACTAGAACTAATGGTGTCTCCTCACCAGCGTGAGCCTCCAAACTGTGAAGGTTGGTCTCCAAACATGAACTTTAAATTCATGCATCTATCTCCTCTTGTAGCACTTTAACATGTTTTAAAAGGCTTGCATCATAAGTTACACCTCCCAGACCAAAGATAAGATAAAACATTATCATAGACACTATTAAGACATCATTATTTATGAAATAGAAGTTATTTTCCTGAGCCATTACTTCAGCCAAGATATAGGATGCATGGATTTGATGAAACCACGCTGTCTCATGCAGTTCTATATGTGTAACACACACACCCCCCCCCCCCCCCCAGATGGCTGTAGACCAGCGAATGATAACTAAAATGATGCCTGTTTCCCCCACTACCACCTAAGTCTGACTACACACACACACACACACACACACACACACACACACACACACACACACACACACACACACACACACACACACACAACCTGTTAGTAATTTAGCTTCAGCCAGCACCATAGAACCATTGGTGTGACTGACCAATCAGCACACAGCCTATTTAATATTCATGTCTTGGCCGAGTGGGTGGCGTGAACCAGTTTCTTTTATGAAGGGGCTTTATTGCGGGGTTGTGTTTGGCTATTTATCACGGCTCCGGGGCCATTTTGAGCCCCAGCGGTCAAAAAACTGTTCCTAATTGTACAAAAACTTGTTCTCAGATCAATAAATAACAATTAAATTTTATTAAATTAAATAACAATTAGCTGCTCAATGGCAGTTGAAGGCTGCCCAATACCCTGCTCAGTTTGCTTTATATGTATTCATTGCTTGTTTTAATTTTATCTTAGTTTTTTATGCATTTTTCCGATATTAATGTGTGAATTTGAACTAACGGCATTTTTAATTCTTTTGTTCTCTCCTCCGCAGCCACGCTTGTGTCATCCGTGGACAAGTTGTGACCTCCGATGGAACGCCACTGGTCGGAGTTAATGTCAGTTTCATTAATAATCCCTCCTACGGCTACACAGTCACCAGGCAGGATGGAAGGTAGAAGTTTGCCTTATTTCCCCCTACACACACACACACACACACACACACACACACACACACTGGGGATGCCAGACAAAACCACCAAAAGCTACCTAAGTACGTTGTACAATGATGTGACAGTGATCTTAATATTATTTTTTTAATGTAGCTTAGCCGAATTGGTATCATGGCAGAAGACGGGAAAAAAATAAAGAAAGAAACACACACGCTTGCCTCCACAAACTCTGCCAGCATTGATCTGCTTTGTGCTTTCATTGGATCCAATTTTGGAATTCTCGGCTCAATTCCCAGAGAAATCAAACAAAGCCCTTCCGGTACGCTCGTAAGTTATGCTTCGGTTGGAGCAGGGAGGCGTCAGAATAAAACATGCCAAGTCGGAGCGCATCAGCGGCGCTGTAAAACACAGTACAGATGGACATTATTTGATGATGGAAGAGTCCGATATTGAAGTACGTTTGTGTTTGCCCAAACCTTACAGGATTATGCGGTCTGCTTTAAAAGGATTCCTTTAAAAATCACAAAACAAGTGCTGTGAGTGACAACTCATCATGTGGATTCTTGATTTGCTCCAGATCTTCTTTTTATGGTGAAACGTTCTAAATAAGCAGGTGTGGGAAGTTGTTTTCCTGTTTGGTTTCCCTTTGAGCTGCTTTGAAATCAGAATTTTCTCAGAGAAATCCAGACAAAACCTTTATATTGTTTTGATTACATTGCTTGGAGTGAAAGTTTAGAAATAAGACGGAATCTGTTTCTGTTTTGTAGATTGTGTATTTTTAAGGATCAGCCTGCAGCAGCAAACAGAACCTGTTCAACGCTTGCGTGTTAGCAGAGCCGCCTCCATCACAGCACTGCATGAATCGCCGTTCGCTTCTAAAGCCTGATTCATGCTTAAGCAAAGGCACATTTTACAAAGGCACACGCGTCACTACAAGAGTATGCACACCTGCATTGGAGCGCACTCCCTGTTGTTTTGGTGGAGAATTTCTTCAAAACTCAGGCCAATAAGTTAGGAATGCGCCTCCTGCTGTCCTGGTGGAGAATTTCTTTGCAGCAGGTCAGGCCAGTATGAATGCAGAGGAGATTCGACGCTGCAGCAGCGGGGGGGGGGGGGGGGGGGGGGAGCAAATGTGCCTTTGCTTAAGCATGAATCAGGCGTAAGCCTTTCCTTTCTGGGCACCTCTCATGCATTCCTTGAGCACAGGTCTTATGTCCTTTCCGCTGCAATGACTTCCTTCATTTTTATCGCGCTCCATTTTCCCCATGCATCACTCTATTTTTGTGCTAGACTCCCCCCCCTTACCCTCCCAGCATGTGTATAAACACGACTCCATCTCCCATGTTCCGCTGTAAACATGTCCAGTCTCCTGCAACTACTGCCGCAATCACTGTAAACAGGCTCAGTGCAGCGTGAAATCAGAAACGCACCTGTTCAGCCGCTTAGAAACGGGAAAGCTGTCTCGACTCGTTTTTATGACGCGTTCTTTATTGTCCGGGGCTTTAGATCTTTAAATCACCTTTTCAGCTATCTTTAAAAGTCTGCTGGTCTAAACAGAAAACGGCCATTTTAGTTTTATGCATTGCTTTGTAGCCACATTTTTGATGAGGCAGTCCAGTTCTCTTACATGGACTAAAGTTTTGTTGGACTTGGACTAGTTTAAATGTGACATTTGCAAAATTTCATCCATGCATCTGATTGATTTGGTCGAAGTCTGTTCTCGTGCAGCTTGCACAGAAAAAGAAAGCAATCAGCAGCAGGTACAGTTACCGGTAATTTGATAAGTTTGTCACATGGCATAAAGCTGCAGATGATTGATAACGCAGTAAATCCTGTCATTATGTGGCAATCGTGCCCATGGGTATTTGACCACAAGTGTGTGTTTAGCCTGCCGAGTGCCGCGCAAACTGACAGGTCGTAACTGCCCAACTGCTTACGGGTCCCAGCTATACATTGGCACTATTAAAACAGCAGCTCTGCAGCCTCTGGACTTATAGAGAACACTGCTCTCACCCAGCTAAGGTTGAAGCACAAAGTGTAGAACAAGCCATTTTTTATCCCCACAACCAATCAGATGCTTACCCTCAAGGGATGTTAGACTAAGCATATTCTTTTTATAGTAGCTCCAACCAAGAGGGAGGCTTTCTATTTTCAATGCTGCTATTTGTTTCCGCTTCTTTACCTGTAATTTAGAAAAGGTGCCTCCTGTGTGAGGATGTGGCCCTGTCCCAGGGGCCTTCAGGTGACCAGGTGTTAATTGGTTCTTAGCGAAAAGTGACAGGAGCTGCAGAAGTCCAGTGCAGGTGCTGCCATGTTGTTGTCACCATGCAGCCTGTTTACTGAAATGCGGGTCAGAGCAGAGGCAGGGGCCCCTTAATGCAACAGCAGATGGGATTGTATTGCAGGGCTTTTAGACTGATGTTAGAGTGGACGGGCTTCGGCTCGGGGATCAATAAAGTAGTGGCGGCTGCCTCCATCCTGCAATGCAGAACTCTCTCACTCTCACTCACTCACATAAAAGCGAACACAGGAGCTCTGCATTATATAAATGCATGCAACACACACACACACACACACACACATGCACACGCAGAACAGTCATATGTTCAATATGTTCTTTTTCATTCCTATAACACATTCAGAATGCCATTCTTACTAATAATCGCAGATATTCCTCATGTGTGCCTGAAAGATTGCTTAACTGTGCCTAATAGTGAAAATAATTATTTTTTAATTGCCTTCATTTATTAAAACATTCCTATTACTGTTTGAGTCTTTATATTAACACTGATAAAATGAGAATAAATTCATCCTCTCTGACTTTTTTTCTCCTCCAGCTTTGACTTGGTGACCAATGGGGGCATAGCCATAGCTCTACACTTTGAGCGCGCTCCATTCATCACCCAGGAGCACACTCTGTGGTTGCCATGGGGACGCTTCTTTGTCATGGACACCATCGTCATGCGGCACGAGGAAAATGACATCCCGAGCTGTGACCTCAGCAGCTTTAGCCGCCCCGTCCCCGTGGTATCCCCAGCCCCGCTGACTGCTTTTGCCGGCTCCTGCTCTGAAAGGGGGACGGTTGTACCTGAAATCCAGGTGAATCTCTGCCTTTCACCCTCTCTACTGCCCTGCAGGCCTGTAATACTCCTAAGTGGGTCTCTCCTTCAGAGAACCCACAGCTAACAGCTGGGGAAGAATCATAACGATGTTCTATTTTATCAGCCGTGGCTCATGGCTTCACTAGGAATTCATTGCTCCATTGCAGAGTGAATAAAATTATGAAACTAAGGGGGAAACTCCTCTTTCCAAAAAGGAAGCCAACGCAGAACTGACAAAAATTGCAGTTCTCCCTCTCATCCACTAGGGGCTGGCTCCAGGAAGTAACAAGTTCCCATTGACTCCTGTGTTTAAAAAAAACATCTTCACAGCAGAAATAAACATGTTTACAGCCTGGTTCATAAAAACATTTTAGGTTAAATAGGTCAAGAATTACAGGGGTGAATATTTCTGTAACAAATCTGTTTAGATGTAATTAAAGCTTGGAGTGATGATTTGTTGGGGCCGTGTCCTTTTGATTAATATGTGTCCAATTAGCCGTCAGCACTAGCAACTTTCCCCCTGCTTGCTCCAGGGAAGCCTAACCCTTACGTTAAAAGTGTTACAGCCTAGAAGGCAGAAGGTAGCAGAGCGGCTCAACCGTGGTTTTCTGGGCAACAGCACCCACCAACCTCTGTTAGCTCCGGGTCTGCTCAGGTAGCTCGTAGCTACATCAGCTCAAACTTTGATGGGTGTCAATCATCTGCCCCCACCTTCACAGCCCCACTCAGCTCCATTTTTGGATTTTCCGGTAGTGATAAGACACTTGACGCAGCTAAGATGGTGGTGTTGGGATCCGCCCAGTGGGCATCAATTCAGCTCTTCAGAAATGTACGGATGACGTCATTGAGGGTCCAACCGTTATATATACAGTCTATGGATCAAACACACAAAATCCAGTCTGTAAATTTTAGATTGTTTGCAAAACATCCAAGTAATCAAACACACAAAATCCAGTCTGTAAATTTTAGATTGTTTGCAAAACATCCAAGTAACATCTGAAAGGATTTGCTTTTGTAATCCACACCTACTCGTCTTATGTTCCCTGCACACATCTGTCGGTGTTTTATTGATGCAATCACAGCCTCGGCCATCTGCACGTTGCTCCTGCCCTTCTCCTTTTTTCGCTTCTTATGATTGATGGCATTTCAGAGAATTTACTATGCAGTTTGGGTTATTTATAGTAGCTCAGTCTTTGCTAATGCTCAAGCTCTGAGAGCGCCACACAAGGACATGGCCTCTTTTACGATTGCAAAACCCGATTTTGACCAGTTAACCACAAATAGCTGCAATCTGTGAACGCTTAAAAATAAATACATCAGAAGTGACACGTCCCTTGACTAGTGTGGCTTTGAACAGCTGTTTTAATTGCAACACCTCGTCTCGTCTTGTGCTTTGAAGACGAGAGGCGATTTAATTTTAGTCGAGAGGTCTGGGTCAACTGAACTAGTACTGTCCATCCCTGATCTTAAATATGAGCAAAAGGCATTTCATTCCTTTTTATTTAGGGTTTATGCTTTGGGTCTAAGAGGAGCTTTCCTACGCCAGCATGGTCTATTACTTAAGTAATGTGATTACTGAAGATGCTATTGGATGGTGCAGACTCAAAGCCCAAGGGTCTACTTGTTATGCCATTGTCATACGGATAACAGGGAGGACGACTGTTCTAATGAAACCCGTGTGTTGTTATTAAATCACTTGTTAAAATACTCATAGGAGTGCAATATGAGGAAATCTTTTATTGGACACTGTTGACCATAATTGTCTTCCAGTTTGTATTTCGTTTCCTCCCGTGGGTGTTTTAGATTTGATTGGAGGAAAGACAACGGGAACAAAAAAGGGCTTCAATCTAACCGTCCAGCTGAGGAACACGTCGATCATCTCTGTGGAGAATTTTTTTTTTAAACTTTTTTTTCCTGTATTTTTTCCCTTTACTTTCTTTAACTTTTTCTTTCATTTACATATTTAACTTTTAAGTCTCCTTTCCTTCTGTTCACCTTCATTTCTTATCCTTTTGACTTTGCTTATGTTTCACTGTTTTTTAATATTTATTCATTTTGTTTGTTTTTTCACTATGTTTTCTTTTTGTGATTCATTTCCATTCATTTTCTTTTATATTTTAATTTCTTTCCTTTTTTTTCCATGCCCCCCCCCTTCTTTTCCTATTTTCCTTTCTTTATTTTTCAGTTGTGATTAATTTTGTTATTGTTTTTCTTTTCTACACTTTTTCTTATAACTATCTTTGTGTTGTTTTGTTTTTCTCGTAGTCTCTGCAGGAAGAAGTGCCCATCCCAGGGAGTGATATGAAACTCAGCTACTTGAGCAGCAGGACGGCAGGTTATAAGTCAATCCTAAGGGTGACCCTCACCCACTCCACAATTCCTTTCAACTTGATGAAGGTTCACCTCATGGTGGCTGTGGAGGGCAGGCTGTTCCGAAAGTGGTTTCCTGCAGCTCCTAACCTGTCCTACGACTTTGTGTGGGATAAGACTGATGTCTACAGCCAGAAGGTGTACGGCCTCTCTGAATCCTTTGGTAAGTCATGACTTCTAGTTTGCATACGGAGCCCTTTTCACCCATTTTTCACTGTTTCCAACCAGAACACATTACTTAAGATTAAAGTTTACCTTGTTTCTCCTGTAGTTTCAGTGGGTTTCGAGTATGAATCATGTCCAGACTTGATTCTGTGGGAGAAGAGGACTGCTTTTCTACAAGGCTACGAAACCATCGCCTCCAAACTAGGAGGGTGGACAATAGATAAGCACCATGCTTTAAATATCCAGAGTGGTGAGTCAGCTAGTTGTTCCTTTGTTGTTGTTTTTTATAGTGAAATTTTCAACACATATTTTATCTGGCTGCCAATGACTTTTTTTATATTTTAAAACTAGAGGATGTCATTTAAAAAATTTAAAGTAACTTACATAAAAATTAGTCACTTTATAAAAAGCTTAAATGTGACTATTTGACACTGTTCTAAGTTGTAATCTTCGATCTTGAGTCCCTTTCTTGACCTCTAAAGCAAAACGAGTCATTTAGCCTACGCGAGCCTAGAGTTTTGACCAAAAGATTTGCGTCTCCACAAAAAGGAGCTGTCAATCAACGAGAATGTGCCCCAGTTCTCGGCATATACTACAGGGTGAGGAACTGACGCCATCTTAGCACACCAACCTAGCTTGAATGTTAACCCCTTCTTTCAACCGAATGTGTAAGTGTCGCAAAATGACTGCGGAACGTACGACACCGTAATTAGCCATTGGGTGTTTCTCACTGTCAAGGGGCCTTGCCTTGCGAGGCGATGTCTTGCGAGGCCAGATGCCTTGCTTACGAGGACACTGTCCTTCCTTGGTCAAAGAAAACAGTTAAATGGAACAGGCTTGCATCACGTGACCACAGATTCCACGGCGGTCACGTAACGTCACGTGACACGGGAGATAACGTTATATTTTATATGTATAGGTTCTATATAAATATATAACGAGCCTTTTACTTTTTAAATTGTGTATATGTTTATTAAATTAAATATGTAAGTGAGTTACTACCCGCTAGCCCCCGACGCGGCAACTACTAAGCAATTAACCAACCATAGATAACTTCTTTGGATCTAAAAAAAAAAACATTTTAAATTAGTTGACTTACTTTTAAACTTGAAATTTACCCCCAAAGTAGCTGCTGGCTTCTGATCCGACATCCTTTTGAAAATACTGCGGTGTATTGTGCGTCATTTTTGGCCAAGGCTAGGCTACAAGACACCTCCTGTGTATCCTTGCTCAGCTATCTAAACGGCTAACAAACAGAGAACTCATGCCTCGGTAGAAAATGAACGTTGGAATCGATTTGAACACATCTTGGAGGCTCCTGATGACGTATCCCCTAGGCAACCGGGGCGGAGCCAAGACATCAAGGCAAGGTTTCTTGACATTGAGAAACACCCACTGTTATAGTGTACGAGTTCCTTTCCATCGGCAATAAAGTGTAACGTTTAAAAAACATGCCCCCGAAATGAACGGACACTATCATTATGTTTTAAGTCTATTTTTTAAACGCTACGTTGCCAAAACACGCCAAACTCCACAGTTTAGATTAGGCCAAACAGCAAGTCAAACACGTGAGCAGTGTAAAACATCCAGAAACTTTCAAACTAAAAGTCACATGCAGGTAAACGTGCGTAATTTCCTGTCAAACCCCTGTAGCTGATGGAAACAGCACAGACAGTTAGACACAGACCATTTTGGACACAAGCAGCCGTCTTTCTCCATGCTTGTACCTTCCGAAATCACGTGTGGTGTTGCAATTCTCTCGTGATTTTGTGGATTTGCGGGACCACCAGCATGGATTGCTTTCGCTCCTGTTTCATATCATAAGCACTCCCAGTTGAGAATGAGCTCACGGGTAAAATGTCGCCATCACGTTGCGCACTGCTTTCTCATCCAGGGGAAAGAAAGACCTGCATTGATTTAACTTCAGTCTGTAAAATGAAAGCTAACTGGAAGAAGAGAAAGGGGAAAAAAGGGGATTTATCTTTTGTTTGTTTGAGCTAGTGGTTCAATTTTCTAAATCTCATTCTCTCCTTGATGATGTCACACTACGGACCCCACCTTTAAAATCCTGATGCTCCAAATTTCCCATTTTCATTGACTTTATGTGAGAGTAAATCTATTCATTTTTGCAGGTTTTGAGCATTTACTGACCTCTTTATGCACACACAATTGTAAAAAGTGTGGATAAGTGCCACCGTGTGTCTTAGGTGTGATTGTAATGTGGCAGAGAAGTGTCCTCCCTTTCTGTTATTTTGTTAAAACTTGTCATGTAACGTTTGTTAAATCTGAGTCTGCCATGTGTCTTTAAGAGGAAGGGGGTCCATTTTCTCTTTGCTGACAGGCAGAAGTGGGAAGAAGTTTGGGGAGCAGCTGTCACTAGCGCAGCTTCTCAGTCTGTTTTGTGTCTGGAGACTTTCATCTGAGCAGATGAGACATACTTGAAAATTGCTCAGAAAAAGGTGGCGCTTTGATCTATGAGGCGGTGAGCCTGTTCAGAGCAAGCGTGGCGTCCAGAGGAAGGAGAGAGCTAGCTCTCGCCTTTTACTCAGCACTGCCAGTTCCTCCACCCCCACCACCCCACCATTTGGCACCTCCGGTTCTTGTCCATGCCCAGCATTTTTAGAATCATCCCTAATTTAATTGCTGTCAGACTTCTGCTCCCAGCAGCAACAGCAGCAGTCCCAGAGATTAAATCACGTCCCAGGAAAGGGATGCTTGGCTGATCGTTTCTGATAGGCTACATGTTTTGCTCTAAAAAGTCAGGTCATCGAGCGCCATCAGAAGCAGAGAAACTACCCCAGACATCCAGATGCTGGATTTCAAATATGATTACCCTGATTGACCAGCAGTAACATCTTAACATTTACATACGGGATCATTTCTAAGAGCAAATACGGTATACTGGTGTAAAAATCCACCATTTCTAAAGACCTTAACATGAATTTCACTCAAAAGTACTGAATTAATGTTCATTCCCAAACTTTAGACGTAAAAAATGTTCATGTGAATCTTTTTTATCTTTTTTATGCAGGGGTGGTTTTAGGAGGGGTCCATGGTGGGAAAGCTTGGACCCCCTATGACACCCCCTCTCCGAGGGCAGACTTTAAGCATTATAATGTGCTGATTTTTTAAATATAATTTGGCCTAATGTGAGATGAGGAACCAAAGCAAGTGAATTCTCACTAAGATAAGTAACTCACATAAAACGTGTTTTGCAAAAAAAGAACTAATGGAAAAGCCATTTCATCTAATGTTATACCCCCCCCCCCCCCCCCCCAAACTGGGGCTGGACGATATAAAAAAATAGTATACACAAATTTGTATTGATCTATATCAATAACTGTTATAATATTATATAATTGCGGGCTGATACGGGCTGTCAGGTATGACCGGTGTCAGAGCTTGGTTGGCATTGACGGCAGTAAGTCGAGCTCGTTTCCAGTGAGAGTTGGACTCCGCCATGGCTGACCTTTGTCTCAGATTCTGTTCATAACTTTTGTGGGCAGGATTTCTAGGCGCTGCCAAGGTGTTGAGGGGATCCGTTTTGGTGGCCTGAGGATCAGGTCTCTGGTTTTTGCAGATGGTGTGGTCGTGTTGGCTTCATCAGAACGTGATCTCCAGCTTTCGCTGGAGCGGTTCGCAGCCGATTGTGAAGCAGCTGGTGTCACCTGTATCATTTATGTCTTTCATCAGGTATTCTTCACATGGGCAACGGGGAGAATGTCTTCATCTCTCAGCAGCCTCCCGTTATTGGCAGCGTAATGGGGAACGGGCGCAGGCGCAGCATCTCCTGCCCCAGCTGTAATGGCCTCGCTGATGGAAACAAACTCATGGCCCCCGTGGCTCTGGCTTGTGGCTCAGACGGAAGTCTGTACGTGGGCGACTTCAACTACGTGAGGAGGATTTTCTCCACAGGGAACGTCACCAGCATCCTGGAGCTCAGGTAAAAGGGGTGTAACCTACTAACATCCACTCAGGACCATGAGCTGCTTAAATGGGCTTACAGTCGGTAAAACTACCAACTGAGATAGACAGAAATGCCTTGAGGGCAGAGGATTGATAGTGCACCTCCCTCATTCACCTGCATCAGCTGGAATTTGGTCCTCTCAGAAACTAAAAACAGTTTAATGGTGTCTTAATATAAGCCAGCCGAGACAGATGAGAATAATTTCCATGCTAATGTTCACATCTGTGTGTGTAGCTACAAAAACGGTTTTCTCATGATTCTTTGAATTCACTTTATTTGATTCTTTTTAACTTCTTTCTACTAACAGCTAATCTTGTCTCTCCTGTGTCTCCTCTTCATTTTGCTGCTTTTTGCAAACTTTGAAAGAAATAAAGACTTCAGGCATAGGTAAGCCTTAAAATATTAGCAATGGTTTAAACAGGATTGGGATTTATGGGATTATGCACCGTTGCATTTTAAGCATAAAATGTAAACTTTTTTGGTAAAACTTTTTCTTTTTTATCTTTTTTTTATTGTGTGTTTGACCAGTTAAAAAAAAACATTACATCAGATTTCTAACCGTCACAGTCGTAGGAGCCATTTGTTAATGTGACCCGCTGTAAAGTGGCAGTGTGTAGTTTCCTACCGCTAGGAGGCAGTTCATACTGTATGTGTCATGATAGTTTTACACCGTGTCGCCGTAACTCTTGTTAGTTCAAAAATTGTTACGGTTAATGTTGTTACCTGTGGTGCAGAAAGCATGCAACCTCAACGTGACTCCTCATACTTGGATGGTCCTTCAGGTCATTCCATCGAGAGAATGTGAAGCTGATTGTAGCTTTTTGCTGTAGTTTCTGGTTCTGCTTGTGGGCCGGCGCCTGCCAATGACGTCATCATGCTACGGCAAAACCATTTGGCCAAAATATATTGCATCTCTTTTTTGATTCTGTTCATTCACATATGTTTTGGAAAGAGTTTAGCAGTTTTGGTATTAAATTCATGTTTCGTACTGCTTATATATTTATAACGTGTTAACATCGTAAAGTCGTATATCCAGCCAATCATCTAGTGTGACATCATCAACAGGCGCAGGACCCCGAGCCGGCCAGAAGGAAATGTGGCATCCCCCAAAGGCGCTACACCTGCGCTACATGTACTTAAGACCCGATTGTAATGGTTACATTTTACGAAGCCACCAATATTTTTCAACAACTGGACATCATTTTATTCATTTTTAACGTTTTGACTGATATTTCCAGAGATTAATGGTAAAAACTACACATTGTCTCTTTAATGTGACCCACTTCAAAGTGAAAAAAAGTTTTCCTTCCTTCTAAATTATTAGAAAAAATAAAAATGAGGCCAGTTTGTTGGATGCTGAAACGTGATTTAGAAAACCAACCAACTCAAAGTAAGCCTTTATTCCTGGTTCTAGAATAACGTTCCTTATTTCAGGGTCTGATAATAATCTGACTTATGTGTGCAAAATGGCGTTTTATTGTTGCCCCCCCCCCCCCCCCCCCCCGAATCTTGTCTAAAAATATTTTGCATTTCTGGATGGATTTTGACAAAAGTCTCGCGTTCTGTCTGAACGTTAAAATAACGACGTGACAAACAAACTATTAAAGCAAACTAATGGATCTGCCTTGCTGCTTGTTCTGTTTAGTATCATACTGCCACAGAGGTTTTAATCACACATTTGCATAAAACAAACAGCTAAATCTTAGGACTATATTATGGTTGTAAAACTGATAGGATAGCTTTATTATTTTAGGTCGCAGCTGTGAAGACGTGTGGCTCCAGAGCCGTAGGATGCAGACCTAGAACTATAGCTTAGATGGACACACTTAAGTTTGCAAAGAAAACTTGTGATAACTTTAACAAGTGGACAACTTAGTGTAGATTTGATCAGTTTCCTAAGCTTTGAGGACCTTAATGTCCATGGCAGAAGGTAACAGGGGAAGTCTTGGTGTGTCCTCTTCCGAAACCACATCTCAGGTGAAGGGCTATCTATTGATTTTCTGTCTAAGAGGCCTTTGACTTGAGCTGTGTGCATTGCTGGTCACTGATCTCTTTAAGAGAAGGGACAAAATTAGCAAAATGTGCAGAACCTAATCTGCTTTTATGCATTTATCATCTCTTGGCTTTTATCTCTCACCTTCCTTTACTCAAATTACCGCTGCTATTATATAATACACGTCCCATACCCACATTCCCAGTTTGATGGAGCAGGACTTAAATCATATCAACCCCGTGTCCCTTTGGTGTCTGTATTCCAAACACATTTGCATTTTAAAAAGGAGATTCATCCAGGAAAACACAGCATGTGTCTGTCTAAAACGGGTGACTGCCTCCTGTTCATGTGTTAGCGAGCGATAGGAGTGGGAGGTGGGTGATCGCACCACAATGCTCATTGACCCCCCGCTAAGGCTGTCCCCATCCACTCCAAATACTTCCACGACAGCATGCAGCAAAATCCAATTATCTTCTACAAACTAGATGTTGTCAGTGAATATAGATGGCATATGTGATCAGAGCCCAAGGTCATGTAAAAACACCTCACAGTTTTAAACCCTGGTGGGGGGTCGACGCCATCTCACATGCAACCCGGTGCTGATAAGGTATAAACTGATTGCATGTGGAAGTAGAATGCAAATCTGAATCCACTTACTGAGATTTACTACTGACCTTCAGTTCTATAAGAAAACAGAATATCGTCCACGCCGGCTCACCGTACCTGGAATAAACCCGCAAATCAGTCAGCTCGACTGGTGGCCTGATTGTGACATATGTGCCTGAGGTTTGTCGCAGTGCCTTGTCACCACTGATTCATCGAAGGTCAATTGTCATTTAATATTATGTACTCAAGATGACAACTCCACAGAGCCACTTGCTATTCCTATTGTACTTAAAAAAACGCTGGCCATTGGCTCAGCCATCCTGACCATAAGCTCCTAAAGAACCCTCAAGGTTAGAGTTGAAATACTGTCTTAATCCACTTTGAATGATGCCCCGCTGACAGGTTTTTCCATAAAGCTTATCAGGTCTGGCAGAACTGTGTCACACTCTTTCCTGATCATAGCGGACATCTTTTTGCTAAAACAGTTTTCAAGATCTTGTTTTTAATCAAGGACCTTAAATGCAACCGTCGATACATTTCAAGTAAAACAACAAAATACTAACTTTAGGGGAATTTTGTGTTAAAGTTATAAATATCTGTAGTAGATATACTACAGAAAGGCCTCAGTTTGGATAAATAAAGTTCATTATCATTAGGGCCAACATATTCTCACACCCGAAACGTTGAAAAATGACGATGGGTGGCCAAGCATCGGGAGCCCCAGCGCGTCGGGAGGCGACGACTGCCGCGGTTAAACGGAGATTTCACCTAATTGTGACCTTTACCCTCATGCTATTTATCTTCCCCTCACCCCCATCCTACCCTTAACCCTCTTGCACATGCAAAACATTGTTTCTAGTTGTAATGTCCCTCTCCAACACGGTTAACAGGAAGTTTAGAATGAGAAACTGGGCTTAAGTTGGGATGTTTGTGAGAGGATGGTTAAATAGCAAGAGATTAGAGGTTAAATGTTGGTTAAATTTGTGTTTTACCGCGGGCATCGGAAACCAACGCTCTGGCGCCGCGCATCGCCGAAACAAACGCTTGGTCACCCAGCGCCTTTTTTCAACGCTTCGGGAGTGAGAATGTGTTGTTAGGGCAGCCAAAAAAAGTGGTGTTCCTAAACAGCTTCAGTCTGAAAAACGTCACAGCAGCTCATAGTGATTAAATGGTTACTAGTATAATTCACCATAATATCACCATAATATAATATGGGTAACACTTTAGGGTGCCTTCATTAATGTTACTTAGTGTGTAATTATACATTAATAAACTATTAAATTAAGTATGAACCATTTTTAAATGTTTTTCTGCTCATAATTGGTCACTCTGAGATTTTCGTGCTGGCTGAACATGAAAATAGTCTCCTACACCTATCTCCTGCATTAGCTTCTGATAGATGTTGAATCTAGGATTTGAAAACCCTCACAGATCTACGTCACACTGTGAATTAGCGTTCATGGACTAACCCATCTTGACTCACGACGGGGAAGGTTGTTGTTGGTTTAATGTCCAGGAATCAGCAGCAAACATATCGACTAGTAGAAGCTAACAGTTGGCATTAGCATCTTCACTTCACAACAGAAGTCCTCCAGACTTGTGTTATTTGTAGAGATAAAACATCCAGGTTGCGAGTCAGCTGTAGAGTCATGTTGCTGATATCAGGAAATAAGACTCCAAATTCTGTCGTCTGAAGCTCAGCTGTGATGCTGCAGCGTTGGCAGGGGTTTGTGGGCTTTTTTGTGTCCTGAATACTGCCTGCAAGTCATTCATTTCTTCCGGAGACCACTGCAAATGTATTGATTAAACGAATAGTCCTCTACTTTAATAAAGGGACCCTTTGCTTATTACTGCTTAATAACGCTCCAAGTATTGTCAATAAAGGGAGTTTTCTTGTAAAGTGTTACCATTAAAACTCTCTTAATGACCATTCCATTTAAAGCACTTTACAGATGCAGCTTTAAAATAGCTCTGGAGAAATTTAGGCCTTCAGAGAGGACCTAATCTTTCACGACTAGATTTTAAATTCATATAAAGTGTCGAGGAAGACAGTATTTTGTAATTTCTGCTTATAAAAAAACATAAACACAACCAAGTTATTAGTGCTTGTGTCATGTTTACTTTCTACCGACAATAACCAGGACTAAGGATGGACCGATATTATTAGTTTTATTTGCATTTCTATTAGTCATCAGGTTGATGATGCATTTATTTAGCCATTTTTGATGATATACATAATTTTTACTCTAGTTTTGTGATAATTAGTATATTATTAAGAATAATTGAACAGTCGAGTATTGAGTGCCATCTTAGTCAGTATTATTATTTAAGTGGTTTGAAAGAAGCAAAAAGTAACTTTAGAAATAAGATTGCTCATTTTGTATGTGAAAACCACTTTTCTGACATTTCCTTAGATGAGTTTCCTTCTTTGTCTCTTTGGACAACATGGGTTTCTAAGAGTGCCTTCTGTGTTGCACATATGCCTCTGAGCTCCACCATTATGTCATTTTTAATCTGTTTTATTTTGTCATGTTTAATCTCATTCTATTTTTCTGTTTCCATGTCCTGGCTCTAAACGTAATAGTGCCCAATTGAGTCACTAAATTGCTTTTGAGTCCATTTTAATTGCATTGCCCCGTGTTTCTTATTGAAAGTGCTGCAGCCTTTCTAATGTAACTGACTGTGGGTTTCTTCCTCTTCTTCTCTCCTTCCTCACATCAGCAACAGCCCAGCACACAAGTACTACCTGGCCACCAGCCCGGTGAACGGCGCCGTGTACCTGTCAGACACCAGCAGCAGGAAGGTGTTCAAAGTGAAATCTCTGAATGTTGTCAAAGATGTGGCCAAAAATCTGGAGCTGGTAGCGGGAACTGGTGACCAGTGTCTCCCGTATGACGATGCTCGCTGTGGCGATGGAGGAAAGGCTGTAGAGGCCACGCTGACTAATCCCCGAGGTAATGTCAAAGTAACTTTTCAGTTTTGAGTTATTCTTATTTGAAAGTAAAGCATTAGAAGAACAAGTTGGTATTTTTAACCAAATTGCTATTAGCTCCACCCACTTTGCTTTTCTTTGCCTTCACACATTTGTGCTTGTACTATTGACCAAATTGTGTTGGAATATGAACAAAAAAACCATACAATTAATATCCTGAATCCATCGCTCATCAGTTACTGGGAAGATTACTGTGAAGAAATGGCCTAAGGTGACGTTTGAATGCATTTCACGTTTTTACATTAGTCTCTACCTTAAAAAAATGTTTCAATCGCCACACTACTGTCAGTCGTTAGTACTATTGTGTGAGCTGCTCTTTTGCTAAAAATCAAATCAGAACTTAATGACGTTCATCAGAAGTTTTTAATCCCAGATGTGGAAACTTAAAAAAAGTCAGTCTGATACTATTTGATGGAATAAACAAACATTACAGCTACAATGGTAAACCTGCAAAGCAAACTATCTTATTTTTATGCCTCTGTTCTATAGTAGTATAGCTATAAATACACTGAGGAGATAATAAATAAATAAACATATAAAGTTGTCTAAATCCTAAAACTCACATGAGTGGTGTTCTATTGCAAAACTCGCATGTGTGTAATGAGTGGAGGACCCAAATAAATGCAGTTTAACATGCGTTAAAGAGTTTAACATGCAGGCTGAATGAGAAAATAATCTTCTACCCCTATTTCCTGCATTAGCATTTAATAGAAAACAGATGGCAAAACACTCCTGACCTGACAGATCTACATCACACTGTCACTTAACATTCATGGACTCACCCATCTTGACTCACAACGGGGAAGGCTGTTGTTGGTTTAGCATTCGGGAAATAGCACAGGCTAGTAGAAGCTAACAGTTAGCTTTAGCAACTCCACAACACAGCACAACTCCTCCAGGCTTGTGTTATTTTTGGAGACAAAACATGAACGTTGTAAAGCAAATGATTCAGTAGTGGAGTTGCGTTGCTGTTATCCAATCGGAAGCGAGATGTCCAATGGAGCTTCTTTGCCCCAGAGTATGACTTGCAAGGCATTCATTCTTAGTAGAGACCACTGCACATGTATTAAAAACGTGAGTCAATTTGACCTTTATGCTAGCTTATTTTGCAGATTTGCCATTGTAAAATTATTTCCAAATGAACAATTCCAACTCACTCGATTCGGAAACATTTTAGCAGTATAAAGTCATGTAATTTTCCTTTTTATTGTTATTGCCCCTATGTTAGGGCTATGTATTAGTCATTACAATTGGATTAGATGTAACTAAACATAGTTTTTCTAAAGTAAAGGAGAAGCACAGAGAATTCATATAAGAATTAAATTCACATCTTTGTTATTTGATCAAAGAGGCAAGCCCACTGCAGAAGTATTAGTTGTAATTTAATCAATACTTATAGTCAGCTTCATCAGTTTTGATGCTCCTGTTCTTTGTTGCTGATTTAAAAAAATCAATTCCTTCATTACGTTTTTTAGTGTGAACAGTTTTTTCTTTTATTTGATTGCAGTAAAAAGTCCTTAATAGCCACTTGGTAGTCCTCTATCCTCACATTAGATACCAGATAAAACTGATGGATATTTTCTCTCATGTCTGCAGGCATTACAGTGGATAAGTACGGTATTATCTTCTTTGTGGATGGAACCATGATTCGCAGGATTGATCAGAATGGTGTCATCTCGACTCTTCTTGGCTTTAATGACTTGACCTCTGCCCGACCTCTCAGCTGTGACTCGGTGATGGACATCTCTCAGGTGTGAGCGCTCTCTTCTGTACAGTCGCTCTGTGTTTTCTCACCTCTCAACCCGTTACTTTGTCCCAGAGTTAATCCAGTGTCCAGAATGTTACCGTAGTCAGTATAGCAAAAAATGTATCTCTTGAGAATTTTAGAGTGGGAGTGTTAAATATTTCATTATATTATATTTTGATATGAAATATTTAACTATATTTGTAGTTGATGATAACTGTTAATTGTTTGAAAATTTCAATTTAAAAAATCCTAAATTAAACCGATATAAGAATTTATTCTGTAATAAATTAGCCTGGCAAGCCATCCTACATATATGAGAATATGTAGTCTGGCCACGGCCCATTGGTGGCTCTCAGTCGTGGGGCGGGATCTATGATTGCATTACAAACTGTCTCCACTATTGGACAGCAAACAATGTGACGTACTCACAATAAATGTACCTATAAAAATTTTGAAACCCAAAAATTCAGCAAATACACTTATTTTGAGGAATTCAGATGAAAAATATTATAATCATAAAATTCTTTTAGCCTCTTTAAAAAAAATGTCTCTTTTTTGTGACCTTCAAGGACTATGAACGATTTTGGTCCATGTCTTGGAAAGCATGGACACCTGTGATCTATCTCTTTAACAGGATTAGTACATTCCTCTAAAATCAACTGTATCTAATCCTACATGTCCTCTACCATCTGATGGATGATTTAATTACCGCAGATACAAACTCAGTCCAGGCTGAAGAACCTTTCCTGACAGCAGCTCAATGAGAATATGCAACAGAGACCCATTGAAACCACTGGTGGTGCCACAGATGTCTACATCAAGTCATCTCACATCCATAAATTATATTTGCTACCTTCCACAACAAACAAAAACATGTATTTCTTTTGTTTATTGCTGCCAATGTTTTATTTACATAAATGAATGGAACGTTCTTGGATTTATTTGCATGCCTTCACTGATTTATGGAATTGTTTCATCGACTTTTTTTGTATGTAGTCAAGCACAGCTGATAAATAAGATCTGGGAGTTTCAAGTGAAATCAGATTTTTCATGTATCTGTTATAAAAAAAAGCCTCCAGCTGTTGACTTTCAGTCCTGGGAGAGCTCCATGCCCATACCACGACCCCTAACCTTCTGATACACCAGCACCTATGAATGTTCACCATCCCAGTTCTGCAGCCACGAGGACTCAGGCGGGCTGTCTGGAGCTCCACAATGATGACAAATCACACAAGCAATGCCAGAGACACTCAGACAGTAAAAAGCATCCATTAAAAATTCATCCAGAGCACATAGCCTCCTACTTCAAACACTCCCCATCCCCTCACTTAGAGGGAGTTTCTCTGGAGAAGGCTTATGACGGTGGTCGTTACTTTTGCTGTGCCACACCTGATTTAGGGAAGAAATAATGTCAGATTTTTCTCTCGTCTGATGAGGTCATCGTTATCGTGCTGCACCATCTGTGCAGTGGTAAAACAGGCATGGAACTCACTCTTAATTCAATATAGAAATCTGTGATCTTGATGTGTTTTTCCATTACCATCTGAGAGCGTGAGCTCATTCGAGCCTCTTTGTTTACTCTGTTCACTTTGGTCTTTTTGGCTTTTATCATTTGTGATTCAGGTCTTGAGTATCTATTCTCTACTCCCTGCTGAGTTCAAACTGATGTGGAGGAAAACCGTGTATTAAAACCAGATCACTTAAACAACGTTTCAGGAGTCTTAGCAGCTTCACAGACTCTCACTGTGACATGCATTTCAAATTTGAGAGGAACTTCAGATATTAACCCATTACTCTTCTTCAGACACACGCTATGCTGGCGAGAGTGATCAGAGTGGTAATAAAATGAAAATGATTACAGCCTGAATATACCTGCAAAAATGTAAAAAAGAGGTTGGCTTTATGTTGGTGCTAGTCCACACTGATGAGCGGTTTAGTTGATTTTTTTTTCTTGTTGGTGGCAGCCGTATCAGGCAGGCACTACTGACAGCTGCCCCACTGGATAAAGTGGAAGGGTGTGATCAGGTTACAGCATATGGGACAGGAGCTCAGGAAATATCCCCTCATCAGTCAAAGTGGCGTGAAAACCTCCTTACAGGCAGGTCCCCTGAGCCGCTCCGCACTCAGGCTCATGAAATATTTAACCTCCAGTGTTGACAAGAAATGGGTTTTAAGAAATTGAAAGTCTCCCCTTCATTACCCGAGTAAATGCATTTTCTGCCCACCTAAATCCAACATGTATCCACCGCCTGTTTGTTGGTCAAAAGATAGATCCTATTATGTAACCCTTTCAGGGGATGATCCAAGGTTTATGGGATATAAACAGTGGATGATGTGTCTTGTAGTGAATTTGCTCCCAGTTTTAAAAAGAAAGGACTCTGCAGCATTCAATTTGAAATAAGAAAATAATTATAAAGAGGTGAAACTGGAAAAATGAGAATATGGTGTAAAAGTACATTTATTTTAGTAATTCAGCTTAGACTGAGAAACCATCTAAAGCTCAGGATCTCTTTGCAGGTGTTCATTAGCTGATTAGAGTGTGAACCTTTTCTTAATATTCTAATTTTTAGAGATTTTGAATGCAGGGTTTTCATCGGCTGTAAGCCATAATCATCACAATTATAATAAATAAAGACTTTAAATATCTCATTTAATGAATCTATCTCATATACTGTTTTCACTTTTTAAGTTGGATTATGGACATAAATGAACTTTTGCACCATATTTAATAATTTCGAGTTTTTCCTGAGTATTTAACCATTTCTGGTTGGTTCTGTTAAGTCTTAAAGCTTTTAATTTGGATATGTATGTATTGTTCTTTGTGTTTGCAAGGTATACAACACAACAAAACAATGTCTTCTTTGTAGATGACTTTTTTCTGAAGGTAGCTGGTGAATTTCTAATTGCAGACCATAAAAAGTATCTTTACTAACTGCTTTGTGCATTCACCATTTGGTCCAGATTTTAATGAATGGTCCTTGGACCCCCAAGTCCTCTACTGAATTATGACACTTGATATTGTGTTTCTAGGAGATCCCTGTGGAATAATAAATCAGAAGGAGACCAGTAAATAGGATTGATCCATTCCTTCCAATTTGTTGAAAGCCTGATACATTGTCAGCAGAACAATGGGTCATCATTTAGAAGGCCTGAGATAGCATAGGCTTTATTTTGTAAGGGGGCTCGAGTCTCCTTTCAAGGACTCATGCAGTCTTGTCATTACAAAATTAATAACCTCGTGAGAAAAAAAAAAAGATTAAGAGGGTGACTTGCAGAGAAAAGATGCAGAGGTCTTGTCAGCATTTCACACAATCAATAGCGGTGTTTCTTTTTTTTAGTAAATGTTATTAATTTAATGAATTTCTGTCAGCCTGTTCTTATTCAGCATCATTGAGTTGTCTCTATCCATCCATCCATCCATCCATCCAAAGCTGATATATTTCTGTATTTGTTTCTTCTCAGGTACGTCTTGAGTGGCCTACAGACCTGTCAGTGAGTCCAATGGACAACTCACTATACGTTCTGGACAACAATGTTGTGCTCCAGATCTCAGAAAACCACCAAGTCCGCATTGTGGCGGGCCGTCCTATGCACTGCCAAGTGCCTGGCATCGACCACTTTCTTATGAGTAAAGTGGCCATCCATGCTACCCTTGAGTCGGCCAATGCCTTGGCCGTGTCCCACAACGGTGTTTTGTACATTGCTGAGTCAGATGAAAAGAAGATCAACAGAGTACGACAAGTGTCCACCAATGGAGAGATCTCCCTGGTTGCAGGGGCACCAAGTGGGTGTGACTGCAAGAATGATGCCAACTGTGATTGTTACTCTGGAGATGGAGGTTACTCCAAGGATGCTAAACTGAATGCACCCTCCTCCCTTGCAGTATGTCCAGATGGAGACCTTTATATTGCAGATCTTGGGAACATTCGTATCCGCTATGTACGGAAAAACAAACCCTTTTTGAACCCCCTTAGCATGTACGAGGTCTCCTCTCCCATTAACGACGAACTCTATTTGTTTGATTCCAACGGAAGCCACATTTTCACCCAGAGTCTGACAACAGGAGACCACCTGTATAATCTGACCTACATCGGAGCAGGAGATCTGACCAGCATCACTGATAAGAACAAAAACACAGTGATTATTCGACGAGACACAACAGGAATGCCTCTTTGGCTGATGGTGCCTGATGGACAGACCTTTTGGTTCACCATTGGGACTAATAGTGCTCTTAAAACCGTGGCTGCACAGGGTCAAGAGCTGGCTTTAATGACTTACCATGGAAGTTCAGGACTCCTTGCTTCTAAGACCAATGAAAATGGATGGACAACCTTCTTTGAGTAAGTAATTTGAAAACTACATTTGCAAAGCACCTTTCTTTTAACCCTCCCACTGTCCTAATGGGTGTAACCCCACGAGGAAAGTTGACCATTGAGCAGGGTTGATGGTTTATCCCTTGGTTCCATGTGGCAGGGGTGAGGAGTGAGCACCACCTCACTCCTGCCACGTGGACCTCAATGGATAAACCATCAATCCTGCTCAATAGTCAACTTTCCTCGCGGGGTTACACCCATAAAGACAGTGGGAGGGTTAAACTTCCTTGTTACGTTCATACCGTGTTTGTTTTCTGATTTTGTTTTCTTTAGTTCTTCGTTGTACACAGTGTGATGAGGGTTTGTTTTTACCTTTGCCAATATGTTTTGACGTCACTGCCGCCTTCGTCAGGGTAACCGCCGGATGTTGGTGGCGTCACTTCCTTTTATCCGCGGGCAGCAGAGGACGATATCGCCCTCTGCTGCCCGCGCCCCATCCGCTGATCACAGTCTTCCATGAATGGTCCAGCATGTAGACTCCTTCGTCCCTGTTCATGGTCCTGGGTCCACGCATCCTTATTTCAACAACTTCTTTTATCCATTATTTAAACTTTTGTTGTTCTGTGTTTATGATTTGTGTGTATCTTTCTTTAATTGCATTGAAATGTTTAGATACTTGAATGCTCTGACCGAGTTATAATCTGTTTCTGCTATTGGGATTTCCGAGTAATTTTACCTAACGGTATGCTCCTGTCTCCATTTTACCGGGTCGTCCCAAAAGGACCATTTTCCCAGACAATTTCAGAGTCCAAATCAATACATAAACTGGGGTTTGTATGAATATGTATATATGGTAAAGTAACTAGGCGGGACTTGTGCTTAACTCATGCCGATTGGTTGTAACTCAGTAGGAAATGACATCGCCAGATGTCGCCAAACAATCTGCATTTGGAAAAATGGAAGATTTGCTGGTAAATGGAAGGAAAAAGAAATAAGATACAGATATGATCATCTTCATTTAAAATCACACTTTCTGGACTCCCAACGACAAAAAATGCCACCCTTGTCCCATGTTGTGTTACAAAATTCTATGATGGCATAAATTTGTCTGATGAAAGGAGTGTAAGTTGAGTGTTTCCTGGCATATACATGGTTCTGTTATGGCTGAATGACAAACACAAGACCTGTGAAGTATGAGTGTAATCCTGTTTGCTGTTATCATACCAAATAGGATTACTGGAGGATATGTTACTCATCTCCACCTCTGCTTGCAGCGGTAGATTGCAGCCCCTCAATTGTTCCTAGTTGTTGGGTCCAAGAACAAGTTGTATCTACTGGCAAGAACATGTTGCCCATAGGGCTGCGTAGGCCCATTAATACAAACATAATAGAATAGCCAGAGGTAATAATTGACTGAGGCGAACCACACATTGAGAGGAAACAATTGAAAGCACTCCCACACTCTTCAACACATGAGTGCTGGGTCTCATGTTCATGTGACTTCAGCTGAGCAGCGCGTCCCTTACCTTGATGTACCAAGAGAATCTGTGCTAACTGGATGTCATTTGAAAAAGTGTGATTAAGGAGATTTGTTGGTCGGACATCTGCTGCACCTCACTGGAGGAATACAACTCTGACACGTAATCAGACGCTCCGTTTAATATGCACACACATTCATCACCTGTGTTTGGTTTGTTTGTCACCTGCACCGCTTCTAATGAAAGCAGAATGCATCCATAAATAGTCGTTTCACAGGGTAGAGAGAATTCCCTCTGGCCACAGAATAGTCATTACTGGCTGTTTGATTTAAAAAAAACCTTTGTCTTGCAGCTGGTGTGAAAACACATAAAAAACTGAAAGCCTAACATTTCATGACTGAACGTATTTCACCCTCCGCATGAATGATGATGCTAACCGTTTGGTCAAAGATAAGAGTTAGGGTCAAGTTCTCAGGTGATCAGATTGTGTGTTGTGAATACTTCTCAGCTACTATCATGTGGAAATTTAGTAGAATATCTATACACATGACTGAGTTAAAGCCAGTTGGCTGTGGTGGCCATCAGTTGTATTCTACATCCAATTATGGCCTTCTGTGATTTAAAATCAGTTCTGGCCAGTATTCCATGAGATACTTTGCTTATGAACACACACACACACACACACACACACACACACACACACACATGCACAGGTAAAACAGCCAAACCTGTTTAAACTGAAAATAACCCCTTAATATTGGGCAAAATTAAGTAAAAATCCCACATGCACAATGAGACAACCAGTACTTGAGATTGTTCTTATGTATTTCCAAATCTGTAATTAATATTATTACAACATATTCCTACTAAAAGGTCACATTTGTGTCATCATAACATTTCAACCGAGGTTTGCCCTCACCTCGACTTTCACCGAGGAAACATCCCAAAGCCCTTTAAAGTGGAGATTAAATTTCATAACTTGAGCATATATGAGTAAAGGTATTTGGTATATAACAAGCAAGTGAATATAAATGCTGCTTTGAGCAAGACTAAAGGAAAATCAGCTTTGCGTCATTCATCAGAGTGTTATAGGGGTGTGAATTGGCAAAAATCAGGTGATACGATACGATATATTTGCAATACTGATAGCTAGACGATATTTGCAAAATGAGGCCAGAAACTTCCAAGACAAATCTAGTGTTAAAACTACAATGGCACATTCGGAAAACTAATTAGCTTAAAAAAATGTCATGCCTCTTAATAACGTTGGAACATAGGATATATTGTGGAGATTAAAAATAATAAAGTGGTTCTCTCACATTTGTCACAAAACCTCTGCCAATAGTGTAACTACTATTACTACTACAAATTACCAAAGACCCAAAAAGAAAAACACCTTTTGGAGTCACGGACAACCGGGGTCCGAAATTCAATTTTTTACTCACCGGCCATGTTGGCTGGTAGATGATGAAAATCTACCGGCCAAGCATATTTTTTACCGGCCAAAATTCTAAATGATTTAGATCTACCAAAAGCATGTAATTCTATATTATGTTGATTCCAAACAGAGTGACAAAATAATTAAAACATCAATTAATAAGGAAAACAACTCTTTTGTCACTTTTACTATTTATTTATTTATTTTTAGAGATGTTTTTATGAACTCTTTCATTGAAATCTAGTCAGACTCCTTGTTTTCTCTGTCCACGAAGTCTGGCCTCCTGCTTCTGACACCGTCTTTGTGCCAAAGCATTACAGCCTCATTTGGGTCATAGTCCTTGATCTCTGGAGAACACAGCTTCACCATGAGAATATCTGAAAGTGTGTCCTAGGGTTGTCACGGTAACCGGTGTAGCAGTAAACCCCGGTAAAAAAGTTGACAATAAATAATAACAGTCTTGTTTAAAAAAAAATATATATATATTATCTCGGTGGATTACCGTGGCTGCGGTGTAGGCGCGGTGACCCTTACCAGCCACCGTATCATCTGCTGGAAGTTGCCGGCGGCACATACTCACTTTGTTGTTTACGACCAAAACTTTCTTTAAGCTAAAGCTGAAATAATGGCAGGAGGAGACGACAGCACTTGGGACATTTATTATCCCTCAAAGAAGACAAAGAAGGAAGTATGGGCATTTTTTGGATATTTGAAGAATGCCGAGGGACAGTTGTCTGTGCAAGGCAGCAACGCTACGTGGCCATCTTAATGTAGCCATTGTCTCACGACTCCGCCATCTCAGGTTCGCCAGTTTTCACAAAATCTTCTGGTTGCCACTGGTCCTGGTGGTTTTTCTTCCAGTTCGACGAGTTTTCTTTTGGAAGGCTGGCTGACTCCAGTTAAAAACCGCCACATTTCACTGCTAGTTTTAACACGATGCTAACTGCTAACTTGATAAACTGATTGAATGGGATAGGTGGAAATGACGTTGGATGCGGCGCTCACGTTTCGCATACGTTTGTGTAAGTTGCATGCAGGCGGGAGGAGTATCAGAAATCCGTGTTAGATGACTGATAAACATAACTAATTTGGTGCAAACATTTATTCGCCAGGTGGCAGGTAGAGCTAAAAAATTTACTCGCCAAATGGAGCAATTTACTCGCATTTGGCGAGTGGCGAGTGTTAATTTCGGACCCTGCGGACAACAGTAGACGTAGAAAATTGCGACTGGTGTTGAGCGCTATCTCGTTTCTCCCGGCATCGCAGGTTTCTGGTTGCAGCCGAATCATCTCAGGGAAGAAACCCCAAGGGAAGGGGTGAATGTCCCGTGGCCATGTTTGTGTTGAAAACCTAGCTTGTGTGCTGATTCGTTATAACAGCTTTATCTTTGTTATTCCATCAGAATGAAGGCAATAAAAACTGCTTCCACCGAGCTGTCGGAGTTTTTCCACCATTCAACAGAAGTGAAGATTTGAATGCAAATTCTTAATTAAAAAAATCGATACACTGTTTTTAAATGTTGATTCGGCATCATAATACAAAATGTCACAATATTTCTGTGTATCAATATTTTCGTACATCCTATATAAGTCTAGCCTGGCCTGCCAGACTCATCCTCTGTTTAATTCTGCACAGAATTTTCTCTGTGCAGAATTAAACAGAGGACGAGTCTGGCAGGCCAGGCTAATATAAGTCCTGAAGGAAAAAAATAAGAAATTCAATTAGTCAATTACAGCTTTTTTGTTTCAAGTTAAGAAACAACTTCATTTAATATCTACAGGCTAATCAGCTCATCCATGTTTCATCGAAACCCGATAAAGCGCATTTGTTTTTGTTTTTTCTTGAATAATTAGCGTTGAAGGTCAGACCACCACCTGAGGGTCAAAAGCATAATTGGTCGTCATCACAACAGCTGTTCATCTCTGCCCAGCAAAGTGAGCTGCTAAACATTTACCCATTTTAATTAATGTGATCTTATCCCTCGGTCTATAGATGATCCCAGTGAGCGCAGAGGTAACCCCAAGGATTGACTAGAAAGAACTAAAGATATTGTCTCCTGAATTACATTCATTTTATTGTACTCCTTGGCAACCTTGTTTGCTTTGACATTTACGGTACACACACACACACACACACACACACACACACACACACACACACACACACACACACACACACACACACACTCCTAGTATCCCTGTTCTTCCAATCAGTGCTCATGCTTAAGGGTTACTGTAAATCTAATAGATACTCCTAATTTACCAAAGACATAATCTCCTATTATTAGGGTAATGATACTCCTGTTTTGTAGCAAATGTGCTTTAATAAATGCTTTAGAGCTAATGTCTTTCAACTGGAACAATACAACTATAAGCATTGCATCTTTGATGTGTTCTTGCTGTGTTGGTAAATAAGGTAAAGGTAAATAAAACCTTTCTGTGTTTTAAAAAGAACTAAAAGATGGTATAAGCATTGCAGTTTGTGTGTGCATGCAAGAACCAAAAGATGACAATCCCTACATAAAACTGACATTTTTGTGTTCTGGTGGTGATACTAACATGAAGTGTTCAGTCTATTGTTTGGCCCCAGCATGAAAGGTCTTGGAGCTAGCGTGTTGCACCATGGTGATGCGATCTGAATGGACTTGTGGTCAGCGATGGGGAAACTGGTCCTCTCCTTCTGTGGAGCACCTTGCTCCTGTACACCCCTCTTCTTTCCACAGAAAGCAAACTAATGGGCAGCTGAGCCGAAGCAGGCCAGAGCCATTAGCTGCTCTGCGGCAAAGCTCAAGGAGTGAGTAGCTAGCTCACCACTGTAATTGAGACAGAAAGAGTTGGGGGTCACTGATCAAGCTGGCACTTGTATTTTACTCCAGGATGAGATTTCTGTCTGTTGAATTCCTGGGATGAAGGCAAACAGAAGCGATCTGCTGAATAAATTCAGCAAATCAGGGTGGTATAGTTCAGAAAACGTGTGTTTTCACTGCACAATGAACACGGGGAGGAAATCCTCCTGATAATATAGGAGCAGTTAAAAAAAGAGTAAAACGCTTAGATATGTATTGTTCTGCTATTTTGTATTTCCTGAAGTGAACTGTGTCTATGAATCAAGAGTCCGTGGTAGTTTCGATCAGATAATGTTTATCTCTGGGATAAGATCCCTCTCCCACTCTTTCTTTCCACGCTGGATATTTGAGATGGCAGCACTAAGGAAAGATCTGTAAACCAGCACCAGCCATCTAAGTTATTAGAAGCTTTATTATAGCAGACAGAAACACAGGAGAGAAGGCTTTCTAATGTGTATTCGGTGCACAGATAAAAGTCTTCATTCTGAGTAATCTACTGTCCGCTCGTTCCCATTCTGGAATACCGTCTATGTAAAAGATTTGAAATTGTTCGGAGCTGATGTTCTCTCAGAGCCAAGTGAAACAATCTAGCCACTCATGTTCTTGTATGTGATGAACTGATTTGTAGGCTACAGAGATACAGCATCTCTCCTAGGATTTGCACTTCAGTGCTCCTATTTCATGGACGGTATAATGAGATTAGGTGATGTCGCTAATCTTTTAAGCTATTAAGTAGTTTTCCAAATCTTAAAAGGTGCGTGCTTTAATATCCGGAGTATGACACGTCTTCCTAGGTAAAAGTGGTTGTTGTTTTTTTTTGTCCTCTCAATTACGTGCTTATATTTTATGAAAGTTACTGATTTAGAAGGATCTGTATTCGTGTCCTGTTCTTAACTTGCTGAAAAAGGCTTGAAAAGTTTAAACCTGCTTAGCATATTGGTGTGCTTGAGAATAGTTGAATATAGCAGTAGACAGCTCTGTCTTTTTAAGTGTGATGATTGCACTTTGAGGTGATTGAAGGTGATAGTTCTTAATTTATTACGTGATGCTGGTTGTTCACACATTCTATGGTTTGTGACACCAGACAGATTATAAATCTCCCAACAAAAGGAAAAGTACAACTGCCTATATGTCATTAGAACAAGAAGTATGTTTTTATAAAAGTGAAATTCAAAAAATTACAATATGGTACAAAAGTTCATTTATGTCAGTAATTCAGCTCAAAACATGCCATTAAGCTTTGAGGTAGATCCATTACACGGAAAGTCCGATGTTTAAAGGGGCATTATGGAAGTTTGGCAGCCAAAACATGTATAGAAATAATAAATTTCTTCTTCATACATTCTCCTGCAATGCCCTGGTCCTGTAGAATGAGCCCTGGCATTTTTACTGTGATTGCCTGTTTTTCTGTAAAATCACAGAAAAAGAGAGCTGCTCGGGTCGAGCAGGATGCTTCATGCTCGTTCACGCTCAGGCATAGCCTGTAGCATTTGCTATCCGTAGCTTTAGCAGCAGAGAGAGAGGCAGTGCCACTTTGTCGCTGTTCCTAACGCCTAGTGACAAAGCTAGCTACATTTCTGAAGACCCTGAGCTACTTTCTGTAGAACTTTCTGCTAGATATTTCCTGCAAATTAGCAACAAAATAGCCATTTTCGCTCCGAACCGTTCTTTGAACGTTGTTTCAGCTGTCATCAAGGATATAAATGTTACAGATACAAAAGACGTCACTGGCGCTTAAGCTCACCTAGTAAGGTGTCGGACTCTCGTGCAGAAGACCTGGGTTTGATTCTGCGTGTGAACATAGGTTATTTAGAGTTGCATTTTTACATTAATGATATATTTTTTTACAGTAAGATGCCCAAATTTTTATTTGAGACTCGCCGAACGGCATTGAATTCACAGATTAAAAAAGATGTGGGTTCAACTTTCATTTTGGAACAATTTTTCAAGCAAGGGAAGGGAATGAACTGAGCATGCAGGAGGACTGACCCATCATAAACCTTTGTCAGCTGTGCTGAAGAGAAAGGTACAGAACCAAATTATTTAATTAATTAGCTGCGTGTTCTCCTGTCCTCTGGGCCACGCACACACACACACACACACACACACACACACACACACACACACACACACACACACACACACACACACACACACACACACACACACACACACACAAGGGACTGTTTCAGCTGTTATTTTCATTAAGGAGTGTGCACGTACAGCATGCGCGCCTCGTGCACAAGCCTACTATTGAAGCTGCCGTTACGCTTTTGGCCTAAGGGGGCAATCGCGAGCATAAAAATTCAAAAGTCCGTAAAGTCCCTTTAAATTGTGATGATAATGGTTACAGCTTATGAAAAGCCCACATTAAAAATATCAGACAATCAGAATATTGTGAAAAGTTTCAATATTCTAGACTCAAAGTATCCCATTCTGATCAGTTAATGAATCCTAAACACTTGCAAAGGGTCTCTGAGTCTTAGATGGTCTCTCAGTCTAAGCTCAATTACTGAAATGCATCAAATTGACTCTTGCACCATATTCTAAGCTTTCCAGTTTCACCTGTAGAACGCTTACTCTCACATTAAGGCTATAACTAAACCAGTGCTTTATCATCTGCATCAAATAAGACTAAGAGGTCGCATGTCCAGATAGGACCAAGATAAACTCATTCAAGTGTTCATCTCTAGCAGGCTGGACTATCGCGATGGTCTTTTGACTGGTCTTCCCAAAAATAAGCTGAATTCTGCTGCTAGAATCTTAACAAGAACCAAGAGTTCCGAGCACGTCACTCCTGTTCTTAAATCTCTACACTGGTTACCCATAAACTACAGAATCGATTTCAGAGTACCTCTACTAGTTTATCTATCACTTAGTGGCATGGGGCTGAAATACATGTTGGATCTCCTACCGGTGTATACACCCCGGAGCTCGTAGAACCCCAGGTCAGAACCAGAACAGTGTGAAGCTGCTTTTAGCTACTATCCTGCACACAGATGGAATCAGCTTTCTTACCTTAAATGTACCCCTCTAGTAACTTTTAAATCAAAATTGAAAACTGTCAAGTATTCATCAGCCTTTGAATGAATGTTTCCTATATGACATTTTCTGCTCTGTAACTGTTCACCCTTTAACTTGGTCTTTTTTTATATTCCCAAATCTGAAATTAATTTGTGAGTATTTTAATTGTGCTGTCACATTGATTTTAATGTTCATGCTATTCTTGCTAACTGGAAAGTGTATCAGATGTGCTATATAAATGAAGCTGCCTTTCCTTGCTTTATTCTGACTTGGTGGAGCAACTCCTAGACATATATCTGTTAAATGTCAGTGTCAACTCATCTGATGTTTTATGTTTTGTTCCTTCTAGATACGACAGTTATGGGCGTCTGACCAACATCACTTATCCCACCGGCAGAATAAGCAGCTACCGTACGGATGCTGACAGCTCGGTCCGCATCCAGACAGAAGGCTCCAACAAAGAGGATATCACGGTCACAACCAACCTGTCTGCTTCTGGCAACTTCTATACACTTTTGCAAGGTAAATGTCTTCATGCGTAGCGCAGAATGTAAGAATAAATGACTTACTGTAACATTTTGGATATAAGGAAAAGCTCAAAAAACTTTTATTTTGCCATCTTTGGCACGTTAAGCAGAGGTTCCCTAAATAACCATATAGTATTTGTTCTTGTTTAACTACAATTGATCGCACGGCGTTTTAACTGCATGCTGAACATGAAAATAGGCTTCTACCACTGTTTTCTGCATTAAACTGCTGAAAGAAAATAGACGGGAAAATGCTCGGGTTAGAAAAAGCCACACAGATTTATGTCACACAGTAAATTGGCATTCATGGCCTAACCCATCTTGGCTTGGTACAACAAAAGGCTGTGTTGATTTTGCAGCCAGGAGAGATCAGAGCAATTTGGCTAGTATAAGCTAACTGTTAGCATTTGCAGCTCCACAAGATGGTGGAACACATTCGGGCCAGTGTTATTTGGTAAGTGGCCGTTATTTGTATAGCGCCTTCTTAGGGTTCTACCCCCGAGGTGCTTCACAACACAGTCATCCACCCATTCACACACTGGTGATGATGAGCTACAATGTAGCCACAGCTGCCCTAGGCTGCACTGACAGAGGTGGGGCCTACCATACACTGTCACCACCAGTCCCTCTGACCACTACCAGCAGGCAATGCCTGTTAAGTGCCTTGCCCAAGGACACAACAGCAGCATTCTCTGGTGGGAGCCAACATCGAACCTGCAACCTTCCGATTTCTAGACAACCTGCTCTACCTTCTCAGCGGCTGCTGTCCCTATATTCATGTGGCAATAAGGGAGTGGTCTATGACCTGTTGACGCCAAGTATGGCAATTGTATCTGCTCGAGTGCAATTATATCGGAAAAAAAAAACCATTAAACTCGGGCTCGTTACCAACAACGCCACCTTGGGAATTTCGCCCAGGGAAATAAGTAAAGCACGTAGGTTCGTTCCCCTTAATTGAGACAGCAGACGTGGTTTCAGAAGTTACAGCTCATTTATTTAATTTAATTTAAGAAACAGTTTAAAAGACATTTTAAGAACTGGCCATGTAAAATACCATAAAAATACTAAGATTAATACCCCAAAAGAAAATGAACCAGTGCAATGAAAAAGAAAATCAATTTAACTCACTACTTAAATTAATTCATGAAATTAAAGGAGGGTTAACTAAACACGGTTTACTATAAGTTTAAATAAACAAAGAGGTTAAACAATAGGGTCTAAACAATAACTTTCAATTAGTTAGACCTTTAATCAAACAAAAGTGCATTTACCAGACAAGAGAGTCTTACCAGCAGGACTGAGGCTAGTGATGGAGGCAGGTGACTCGGGGCAGAGAAGCCCCAACCAGCAAAATTGATAAAGAAAATATAAAGAATTCACCCCAGCAGTGAGCATTCATACAAACGTGAGAACCCAGCACCACCTAGGGTTGTCACGGTATGAAAATTTAACCTCACGGTTATTGTGACCAAAATTATCACGGTTTTCGGTATTATCGCGGTATTTTTTAAACGGTGTTGCATATGTTCAGAAAGCATTGATAGTCCTGTTCTACACAAACTGAAATAGTTCTGAAAAGGTTTAACAGTGTTTATTAAACCTAAAATAACACAAAGCCTTAGCAAAAGTGCAACTTTTCACAAGTAAAGGAACAAATAGCTTCTTTTTCTGGAACTTGTTACAGTAGTCAGTGCAGGTTTAAATTATACAAATCCAAACATTCAAAACATAAACAATATGTAAACAAATCAAAGAAACACCACTTGTTTTCTCATATACTTGTTTTCTTCATTATCAAAATGAAAATCTAAAACTCCAGTCCACACTTGACTTGAGCGCTGTACAAGTCAACCTTAAAAAATATGTATTTAAAATAAATAGCCACTTTAAACAAATTACTAAAATAACTACTACACTATGTAATCAAATCCAAATGTTCAAGTATAAATGGCATTGAATAAGTAAACAAATCAATGACAAGGAACTAATTGTATATTTCTCTTCATCATCAACAAATAAGATGCTTCATCCAGCAACAGGGTGTCCGTGACACGGTTTAAATGCTGGCAGAGGGCGCTGCGGCTGCAGTATATAGTGACTCGTTGCATTCTCCGTCAACCAAAAGTCCTCGCGTCATGCATTTAAGCTAAAATGCTAATGTTGACTTACCTTGCACTGGCTGTAGAGACGTGGGTGATCGTCACTCAGATGAGCCATTAGATTCGAAGTGTTGCTGCCTTTTGCAGACACTTGTTTCCTGCACGTTCTGCAAACGGGATAGCAGTCTTCTATTAACTGTCCCTCAGCATTTTTCAGAAATCCAAAATATGCCCATACTTCCGATTTAGTCTTCTTTGAGGGCTGATGGATGTCCTGGGCGCTGCCGTCTCCTCCTTCGGCCATTATTTCAGCTTCAAAGTTTTGGTGCCGTTGCAAACTAAAAAGTGCGTGTGCGCGCCGCGGGAACTTCAGCTGAAGCGACGGTGGCTGGTAAGGGTCACCGCGCTGAAACCGCGGCCACGGTAAACCCACCGAGATAATATAGTTTTTTAAAAACTGGACGGTTATTTTTATTGTCAACTTTTTTACCGGGGTTTACCGCTATACCGGTTACCGTGACAACCCTAGCACCACCACACTCGCACACGGGACCGCCACCTCCGAGGCCACACTCCACACCTTCTGCCTCAGCCTGCACAAAGAAAACAAGATTAAAAACTGTATAAAATCAGCCACGAGCCAGGGGAACTCCCTCCGACCAGCTAATTTAAAACGAAGTAAAGGAAGCAAAACAAAACAGCGGCGCCTCCGGCCGGACCACGGAATAATCTAAAAAGACAAGGAAGAGGTAGAAATTACCAAACTAACAAATGGCCAAGTGTGTAGACGGCGCAGCACACACCTACCGGTCCTCCTACTGATGACGCCTGAGCAGAAGGGAACTCCCTGCCCAGCAGCAACGGGGATTCAATCTATCCCTGGTTTTACAAATAGCTGATGTTAAGATTGTTTGACTCACAGGGTATCTACCTGCAGAAGGTACGTACCGTTTAACAATGCTTCGTCTATCAAAGGCGAATGATGACGTCACGCCCAACACTGACACAACTGCCCAAGCTGCAGGGTCACAACACAGTCTGAGACACAGTAGCCCTAGTGCTAAACAGAGTAGCCATCCAGGTACATACCACAGTTGGAGCAGAGCCGATCACACCAAAAACACAGCCGGAGGACACGGGCTGGCAACACCAAGACGTGGCAGTATACTGAGACCAGCTGTTTCCTGAACCTACTTCCTCGCCGGAGGAGCTCCCCTTTTATAGCAGCAGCGCCCTCCTACGTACGGAGGGCATACTGCTCTAGACCAATAAAATTGGAGCAGGTATTTCGTACTGCTACATTTATATTTGGAGAGATTAAACGCCAGGATTGCAATTTTGTGAAAGACACAGATGCAGCGGAAGAGTCATGTTGCTGTTAGCCAATCAGAGGCAGGGTGTCTTCATTGCATAAATATTAATGTGTAAGACACCAAATCCTCCTGTTTTCCACTCCTCTTGCTGAAACTGGAGCGCCAGAGCTTATTTTCCCCACAGAAAAGGAATCACGAGGCATTCATTAAATTTGTTGAACGACTTTAAAACAATGCTCCTATATGTAACTCTTAGAAAGGACTGAGTAGATATATTCGTGTTCTAGACTTTCTTGTAAAATGTATCAATTTTGCTCTTTTCTAGTGAGTTGCATCTGCGGGATGAATTATACCATCACTATTATCCTTGACATAGAAGCAGTTTACACTGTGCAATAACTCGATATAAAGCTTACATAAATGTTCTAGCTGTGTCTCAGGAAGGGCAGCACGTCCACATTAGAAGCCTTGGGGCATAATAGTGTCAGGTGGGCTGACCTTCTCCGAGACCTGGCTGGGACATGAGCTCACAGGCACCGCGTGGATCAGCCTGGTGGGGTTCAATTTCCCAGCACTGAGGAGTGACTCAGTCTTACTTGAACCAGGTCAAAATTAGTTTTTTATTTAATTTAATTTATTAATTTATTTTTTTGTAAAAACAGCATCTAGGTCATCTGGATTGTTGTTGGGAGTTCTGGTCTAATATTTTCTTAATTTTACAGTTAGCAAGGACACATTTTTGCTTTACCAGTGGAAGCCTAAAAACCTGTACAGGTGGACGTAAACAATGTCACCTTTGTTTAATTATAGTTTAATCAAAGCAGTATTTCTTCCCCTTTCTTTGTAATAACGCGTGTGGTGCGGTTCCCATCTCTCATAAACAACAAAACATTGATTTTCTGTCGTAAAAGTAAATCAGAAAACCCAGCGTAGGTGGTCATACAAGATCCAGGAAGTTTGGTGAAAAGATGCTTCAGGAAAGTTGAACATAACTGAGCGTTTCATTCTCTGGTTTTGGTCTGATTACTGAATAATAGTTTTGATCTTTCCAGGGCTACTTTAGTACCATTTTTATTTTTAGATTTGAACGTCGCCGCTCTGACAGTAAAATAGCATGGGACACAAAACAACAGTCTCTTTTTCTCTGTTATTTAACCGAGGGGTCTTTTTCTTTTTCTGACCTTTGTTAAGACATATTGTTATTAAAAAATGGTTCCAGAACCTCCACTAATAATCAGTTCACGATGATCAAGTTCCCAAGCAGGCGATGACATGAATTTTTAAGGTTCAGACAGCTGTGCACGTGCACATCAGGAATATTAGCCTCCTTTATTTGCTTTATTTTGAGCAGAGTAAAGATAACGTTGGATTATATCTCTTCCCCTCCACCCTGAATGTACATTAGTGCAAACTTGCCAACTCAGCAGTATCTCAAGGTTCATTTGGCCTCAGAGGCCTCACGTTGAGACTGTCTGCTTTGGAGGTCATTTGGTCAACCTCTGAAGTAGGTGTCACCATCATGAAGAGAGATAAGAGCCACTTCAAGGTCAGCCCTACCTACTGAGCCGGTATCTTCCATCTTAACACCTTCAGCAAAAAAAATTGCAATTTATCATCAAGTTACGTTTTGATTGTCTTGTTTTTGTGCTGTAAATACATTTCCAAATCCACTAGAGCGTGGTAAATCAGCCCAAGGAGAAACTAGAGTAATGGTGTTTTTTCCTGTTAATTGGAGTCTGCTAACTAGTGTTGAGAAACCATTCATTTTCCATTGGTCCCATTGAGTATATAGTGCTTCCTGGTCTTTTCACTGTGCTTTAAAAGAAGTGGGAGCAAAGCATTCCCTGTTGGATGAACATAAGGTAGTCAGTGGAAACATTATTCACCAGACTGGAACTAGAACATAGGCTGCTGTCACCTTGGGATAGTAATGGACAGGTTCAGATTTATCCCCTGCCTTCTCCGTAGACCATGTTAGGCTAGCAGCTTTGATAGTTTTCATCCTTCAATATCCTCCAGGCTGCAACAGCTGTAAAATGTTACTTTACTGGTGCTGTGAAACCTCTTACTATTGATCTTTGTTGTCACACACTCAACATTACCGCAGTGGTTCAGTTAAATACTGCTGCTAAAGGCTTTCTTTTTGCTGCGCAGCCATTTTCGATCATTATATTTGTGCATCACAGAGAGGAGTATTAGATTTAGTCCCCTTACATCAGCTCCAAGAAGCTCTCGACTGTTTCTCCCTTTCTAACCCTAATCAGAGCTGGTTGTCTTTGTGTCTTCTCTGCATCTTTCAGATCAAGTTCGAAACAGCTACTTTATTGGTTTGGATGGCTCGTTGTGGCTAGTTTTGGCCAATGGTATGGAGGTGTCGTTGTACACCGAGCCCCACCTGCTGGCCGGTACAGTCAACCCCACGGTCAGCAAGAGGAACATAACCCTGGCTATTGACAATGGCCTCAACCTGGTGGAGTGGAGGCAGAGGAAGGAGCAGGCTCGAGGACAAGTCACGGTGTACGGACGCAGATTGAGGGTAAGAATCCTGCTCCGTCCAGACTAACTACCCGTTTCCTGATCTTCTCTTATGATCGGGTAAAATCCATGTTTGTGTTGCTGATGCAAAGGAAATCACAGAGAACGCTCCTTATTTCTGTTAGCTCTGCTTTAGCCAAAGTCTAGCTAGTACTACACTTTATGAGAACGCTGTAGACTTCTGATTAGTCAAACTGAATAATCAAGCGTAGTTGTAAAACGACTGCATTTCTGCAGCAGCGAACACAAAATAAACCTTGTTTTATGAAGTCCACACAGTCAAAATATAAATCATAACAGCTTGTTTATGCGCACACGTTACACTTTTATTGTCTGAGTTAAGTACACAGCAGCATCCTTCTTCACTGGAGCCAAAAACTGACCTTTTTTATTTCTCTGTGCTTTGTTGTGTTTAGTTTTGTTTATAGCTAACATATATTTAAGCCTTTCTGTAGTAAAAAGCTCTATTCCTCTACACTTCTGATTTGTGAGTTGATTAGGATAAGATTTTTTTTTTATCAACGTAATGGCCTAATAAATACACACACACACACACACACACACAATTGGGGAGTTTGTTTGACTGGGTTTAGGTTTAGGGTCTGATCCCAACCACGACAGTGAAACTGCTTCCTTTCCCAGTGCAGATAGACTTGTGCCAAGTATAAACTTCTTAAACGGTACTGTGTGGTAAAAAGACACCATAATGGAGCTCTTCAGAGTTGCTGTTGTGACATTCAAACGGGATAAGCACCAACCAGGCCGCTGAACAAATCTGCTTTCTCTACAACGAGCAGCTGCTTCAGTCCCTGTTGTTATTGACTCACCAGAGCCTCTTAAGCAAACTAATATTAAAGTTTCACCCACACGCATGGCATGACAAATGGTTCTATAATGACTGCAAGAGCAAAAGCAAGAATCACCAGCACTACAGGCACAGAGACCTTATCAGTTAATCATATTTATTTATTGACTTGCTTTGTTCTCTATTTACTTATTTATACATGACATCCCCATAAAAACCAAAGGAATTACCACATGTGTGGTTCCATTAGAATTGTGGCTAACGTGGCTAACATTAGCGTGTTTTATTTTCCTCTATTATCTGTACTCGTAACCTCTCACTACAGCTTTTTTTATTTGCACATTTTCTTTTTCTCTTTATCAGCCATCAGAATGGATCTGATATAGTAGTTATATGTCCTCGCTCTCCAAGTCAAACCCAGTTGTTACTTCCATGTAATTTCCAAATTGTGTCTTTTTAAAGCAGAGTGACAAATCTCTCTATCCAGGTGTTAAAATAATGATTCTGCTCAGAATTTGGATACAGTTGCTTGTAAAATTATTTCTCTGACAAAAAAGTTCAGACTAATAAACGATCTTATTTCCTCTTACAAGTGAACATTTTATTTATTTATTTGATCGTTTTTAAAGGTTACTTGAAATTTACCTTGCAATTATAAAAGAACGTTGTCTTCTTTTGGAAAGTTCTGAATGTACCAGAAACAGATTCAGACCACAGTTGGACGAATAATTAGAATGATATTTGAAGTTTTACGTTAACTTCTTCATTTAAAAGCTGAAACTGATTTATGTTCACTTAAAACATAAATGCAGCAGTTTGCTGTTCAGAGAGAAAAATAAGTTAATCAAGAACATTGTCTCAAAGCTAAAGCCAAAACGGAGCGCCATCTAATGGTTGGCTGCAGTAAAAAAGTAAACTATTTACTTGTTTGTTCAGTACATTTGCGGTGTTTTCTAGTGTAAGTCAATGTCCTATAAGTCATTTAAAAAGCTATGATGTTCCTGTTCTGAGATGCAGAAGTGGGCTGAAAACAGCAGAATTCCTCATTATTGTTAATCACTTCTGATTGGCTAACAGAAACACATTCAGCCATGTTGAAAAAGTCACGATCACCAAGACACTCTCCGCTTTCATTCCCTGCTGAAAAAAACATGTTTTTAAAGGCTTCCTGTGAGCACGAGCCAAGATGGGCGGGGCCATGAATGTTAATTTACAGTGTGACATAGATATGTGAGGATTTTCAAATCCTAGCATTTCACTGTCTATTTTCTATCGGATGCTAACACAGGAGATAGGTCTAGGAGGAGTTTTCATGTTCAGCGTGCATTAAAAACTCAGAGACAGATTATAATCAGAAAAAATATTTTTTCAGTCAACTGCACCTTTCAACAAAAGGGATGAAATTTTAAAAATTCTTTCAAGATAAAAAAATTATTTACGTGTTTTTACTTTTGATGATTAAAATTATAACTCTTCTATGTATAAATCAAATGTTTTTTTTTTATATATTAACTTGTATTTAGCTTTGTGCTGCTTAAAATGACCGTGGCTGGTTCCAAAAATGCAACATGGCAGCTTCTGTGAAAAGGATATTTTGGCTTGATTTTACCTCAGTGAAAGTAGACAGAAATGCCTCATCCTTGTTTCTTAACAGAGTTTGGGTCTGCTACATTAGAACACAACTCATGACTTAAACACGCCACTAGCAGTTTTAACATTTGACTAATTAGGACACATAGCTTAGAGTTTAAAACCTGCATCTTGTCCCAGATCTCTACTCCTGCTTTCCACCGTAGTACGCAGCTAATAGCCACCATTTAGCCAATGACTGCATTTCCACCGAATACGAAGCACGCATCCCAGAAACATTTTCATTTCTCGTCTAAATTTACACTTTGATTCTATTTTTTCCCCACTAGCCTTCTAGATCGCATCAAGCTCAGCAGTTCGGATTGGGCTGAGAGCAGTGTAATGGTGGGGGCCATCGGCTTGAACACTGTTGCTAACCACTTAAACATTCTCCCTCTCCTGATAATAACATTTTACTTTCTTTGACATTGAATGTGCTACTACTAGTTTACCCATTTAATTATACATCCACTAGGATCAATACAATAAAGTTTATCTCTCACCAAATAGAATATTTACTAAGAAATCACAATGTAACCATAGAAACATTGCATGGTACAGTGATCCCTCGCTACTTCGCGGTTCGTTTATCGTGGATTCACGACTTCTCAGATATTTTCTTTGGAGCCTTATTCAAGGGAAATTTGCTGATTTGCGGTATTTTTCACCGATTCGCTGTGTTTTTCTATGCGAAATATCAAGAAATTCCTGTTTTTTTTTCATCAATTTCATCATAAAATGCACTTTTTGTAATAAAACTATAAACAAACCAAGTAAAAAAAATTTCTATGCAAAAAGTCTGAATACTGAATACGTACCTGTTAAATAAATAATGTAAATATGGTGTCCCAACTTCGCGGATTTTCACGTATCGCGGCCAGGTCTGGAACGCATCTACCGCGATAAACGAGGGATCACTGTATATATGTTGTGCGTGCGTGTGGGTGTTGGTGTGTGTGTGTGTGTGTGTGTGTGTGTGTGTGTGTGTGTGTGTGTGTGTGTGTGTGTGTGTGTGTGTGTGTGTGTGTGTGTCTGCTCCGTCTTCTCGATCCCCAGTGAGTAGTGGAGGATGGCTGCTTGTACTGAGCCAGGATCCTCTGGAGGTTTCTTCCTGTTAAAAGGGAGTTTTCCTCTCCACTGTTGCTAAATGCTTGCTTAGTACAAGGATTGCTGTAAAGTCACTGACACTAGTCAGTGACTTGATGCAATTTGCTGGGTTCCTTATATAGGAAACGTTTCTCTGATTGGCTTAATGAACTGACCTGAATTGAAATGTTTACTAAGTGAAGTGCCTTGAGACGACTCTTGTTGTGATTTGGTTCTATGGAAATAAACTTGAATTGAATTGAATTAAAACACCGGAAACTTTTAAAATAAAAATCATGTACAGATTGCTTATTGTTTACCTAGTAAATAAATATGTCGCTGTGGCTGAGGTAAACAGAAAATAAACCACAGACCTGGATACATGCTCTACTCTTTCTCCTTGCGTGATAGCTCGTGATCTGCTGAAATCATGCGTTATCTTTTAATCCTCTGGTGATTCTGTGACCTCTGTTGTGTTCAGACACTAGTTGGCAGCAGAGGACTGCTGATTAATAAATAGTATAGATCAGTGGTTCCCAAACTTATTTAGCCACGCACCCCCTTCTATGTCCCGACCATGTCGACGCACCCCCCCCCCCCCCCCCCCAGCCCCCACATCGGGGCATGGCTCTATATATATATATATATATATATATATATATATATATATATATATATATATATATATATCAGATGTCAAGCTAAACAGACAGGTTAAAAAAATTCCCCATCACTTTCATTTTTAAATAGTAATTAATAAACATTCGATACCATTAAAATTCCCTTTGATTTCATTTTGAATAAATATTTAGAGTGCCCAGGTAGCACATAAACAATGCAATTTAATGGTTTTCTTAAAGTAGGAACGTTTAACCTCTGTGGCCAGAGCGCTCTCCTTCCTTCTGTTCTGCGTAAACCTGAGCTGATCACCTACTTGTGCGTAATCAAATGTCAATAGGGGACAATATATAGCCATGATGTTCACTTTTGCCTCAGACCGACTCATTGCTGTTTTATGGTGTGGCTGAATCTGCGATCCGCTGTCATGCGGACCGGAATAACAAATGCTGCAGTGGACTTGTGGTCAGGTTCGGAGTCACTGGCTGTAGCGGACCCGACTCATCCCAGAAGCTAATATCTTAATTTGACCTTGAATGAAAAATAACCTCTTAAAAGTTTTTATCACGGTGGAAGCAGCGTTCATTTCTGCCTTCAGTCTGACAGCGGGCCGCAGTCAAAGCAGCGTGTGCGCTTATTGAATCTGTGTGTGTGCACGCGCGCGCGCGGCACAGCCGCTCAAGTCACCGCGTCTCGTTCTTGGCGCTATTTAAACCAATGTTGTAAAATGACTTCTGCCCAGCCCAGATGTGCTCACATGTGCACCCGTGAGCCGTGGTTCAGCCGGAACGCGTCTGACCTCTGACAGACGCACTCTGAACTTCAGATCTTCAGCGCGCTGTTAATAGCCTGAATGGGAATCA